CCAACTAACCAACCAACCATCCAACCAACCAACCAACCAACCATCCAACCAACCAAACAGTGTGGACAGAGCAAAAGCATTCTCCTTAATCGTACATTGTGCCGACATCAGTCACCCAGCCAAGCCTTGGAACCAGCACAACAAATGGACGGAATTTCTAATTGAGGAGTTTTTCAGTCAGGGGGACAAAGAACTAGCCCTCGGATTGCCCGTATCCCCCCTGTGCGATCGAAACAACACGCATGTTCCTGAATCACAGATAGGTTACTGGCGTCATCACCATCTTTATCATCATTATCATCATCTTTATCATCATTATCATCATTATCATCATCTTTATCATTATTAACATCACCAATAGCAACAGTATTGTCTGGCCATCATCATCGGCCTCATTATTATCACCATTCTCATCATTATCATTATCATCATCATTACCACCACTGCCATCATCATCATCATTGCCACTACACCATCGTCATCAGGATTCATAGATTTCATAGTCGATCCAAGCTTCCAAGTGATGGGAGACATGATAGACAAAATGTTGAGCGACATATTGCAGCAGCATCAGTCTCAGCAACAAAGTGAACTGCCTCCGCAACAACAACAACTACAACAATACTCACTTACCACAACAACAACAGCATCATCAGCACCAACAACAGCAACAATAACAATCTCGGCAACATCAACAAAAACATCAACACACAAAACATCAATGAAAACGCCAGTCATCACTTCAGTAAAACACGGAACTAGAACGTCAGCAGCAACAACAACAGCATCAACATCCAACAACAACAACGTGCTGAAACACGTCTCCAGCAGACAACAACAACATCATCACCATAACAGTAACACCAACAAACTAACAACAGCAACAACAACAACATTGAGATCATCAAAGACGTCTTCAACAAAATCAACAACATCTTCAACAACAGCAACAACAACATCAACAACAACATCATCAACAACATCATCAACAACAACATCATCAACAACATCAAAAACTGCATCGCCTTCCAACCAAACTGAAACTGGTAATTTTGAAAAAGTTAATTAATTGAATTAATTAACACCACTAATTAACCGATCTAATTAATGTATTTAATTAACCAATTAATTGATTAGTTTAAAATTAAATCACAGCCCGGATAAAGCGACCATGGGAAGAATGTCTTACCGAGAATAAGAAAAAATGGAAAGAAAGGGCTAACGATGGTAATGGTGATGATGAGGATGATGATGATGATAATGATACTGTTGATGATGGCAAAGATGGTGATGGTGATGACGATAATGATGTTGATGGTGGTAATGATGATGATGTTGTTTATGATGATACGATGACGTTATCATACGTGATGGCAGTTATGCCAAAACAGGATTTTGAATCCCACAATAACCATCATCATCACCACAGTCGCCATCACAAACATCATTATCATAATGATCATCATCATCATCACCATCATCATCATCAGGATGGATATGCCCACAACAAGCCAAACCACAGTGAACGAAGAGCGATGATGATAATAATCAACATTAATACTCGCCAATTCTTTCTTTTCCTCTTTCTCTCTCTCTCTCTCTACTACTACTACTACTACTACTACTACTACTACTACTACTACTGCAACGTTCAGAAAACAACAAACCAAAAATAAAATGACTTTGTTTTTATATTTATTGAACATATATCACAAAAGTTTATATATAATATATATATTTTTCTCATATTTTAATAATTTAATATTTTAGTAAAAATTAAATAATATTATTAGAGCGTACATACTTGTGTATTTGTGTGTGTGTGTTGTGTGTATTTGTGTGTTCGTTTTCTCATAAATTGTTATCGATCTATATCGTTTTGTATGTATGTTTGTATGTTTGTTGGTAAGTATGTTTGTTTGTATGTTTGTTTGTACATTTGTACGTGTATTTATGTCTCTCTCTATAATATATATACTTATGTATAATGAGTATGTATATATGTTTGTATGTATGTTTGTACACATGTAGGTTTGCATCTATGTTTGTATACATCTAGTTTTGTATGCATGTTTGTACACATGTAGGTTTGTATCTATGTTTGTATACATCTAGGTGTGTATGTATGTATGTTTGTATGTATACATCTAGGTGTGTATGTATGTTTGTATGTATGCAGGTTTGTATTCACGTAGGTTTGTATGTGTATGCACGTTTGGTTGAGAATATGCGACAGAAGAATAACACATGATTTGCCAAATTTTGA